TTTTTTTTGTTTAACAAAAAGAAAAAATGAATAAGAAAGAGATTATATGTTTTTTGAGTTCATTCATTAAAGAGGCAAATAGGCTTTTGAGAGCAATCTCATACACACATATCCATACATACACATATCTCCTTGTTCATATCTATCTAAGAGAGACGATGTGCATGTATTGAAATGATAATGAAGAGGATTGAATCTTTCATATAATATATGCATAAATCATTTGATTAATAAGAAAAGACTATGATGATCTTCAACAAACAAGATGAAAGAATTTTTCATCATAAAATTGCCTTTTTCTCTCCTCCTCCTTCTATAATCATCAATAGAACTCTTGGCCTATAGGCAATAGCTGGGCTTAAGTGAGGCCAAATGAGGAGAGTGAGATGGGATGAACCGGAAAAAGAAAAGAGAAATACGAACAGATTATAAGAGAGTGAAAAAAGAAGAAAAGAGAACTATTAGTAGGTTGGAGTGTAAGTACCCATCTTGCATTCGTTGAGGAAGAAGTCTTCAAATTGCCAGCCTATTCATTTCATTTGGAATAGTATACAAACGTAGACAGTGATCATCATCATGATCATTCTAATAGTCATTATCATTCTCATCATCATCATCATCTCATCGTGTGTGCATGTGTATGTGTGTGTGTATGTATATATCGACTTGTATAGTTAGTGAATGTGGTTCGGAGGTTAAAATATTAAAAGCAAGGTGAAAATATAATGAATAGAATATATAAAATCATGCGAAATGAGGTGAGGTTATGAATGATTTGTGATACTTTAAACGAGGGTAGTATGTTGAATAATGTCAGATGGAAGTTATTGTTGGAGTTTCAAATGGAACAAAAACATAATAATTGACATTTTCTTTGTTAATCACACTATATAGACATCTATCTCAGCATAATTATGCAAATGAATATGATATAATTGGTTGGGTGAGGGCATGATAATGATTTCATATTGACAATATGTCATTCATCATCTTTATATATATCTATATGAGAGGGGGGTAGGATTGTTCATAACTATGTCAAATCAATCAGTTCTTATTGATATATTCTCTAAAAGTCAAAAAATGCATTGTTAGTCCATTTTTTGAAAGAAAAAAGAGAAAGAGAGAGAGAAAGAGAGAGAGAGAGAGAGTTGGATATAAAAGGAAGAAAGCTTAAAACCTTCTCATTTCATTTTCTTCTTTGACTTCTAGACTACATTCTCTATTCTCTATTCTCATTTGAAGTAGAATAAGAAAGTTAAATCTATACATACTTTGATATATCCTCATGAGCATGCTTAAATGTATCTTTTTGTATACCAATTTTGGCTCATAACATTTGAAAGATAATGAAATTAGACTTCTCGTCCATTAAATTGAAATCACATTGAAAGAGATGCTCTCTAAATGCTTTCATGTTCTTCCTCTCTCTCTATAATCCCTTTGAGTTATTTTGTCTCTCTATCTCAGTCTCTCATTTCAAGCTATTAGACTTCATTTCAACTGTTCCATTTAAGATTAATTTCTTATTCATTCTTCCTATTCTCTTGTTTCCATTTTCAATTTTCGTTTCAATACATGTCATAGGTATATGGGAGAAAAAAGTTTTTTTTTTCGATCCCCCCCCTCCACACACACACATACACAGCTCTGTCTCAACATTTCATCTCCATGCTGGAGCTACATTCCATTTCATATCTCACACGTTCTCCTTCGCCTCCTCCTTCGCCTTTTCCTTCTTTTTTTCCTTTTTTTTTATTTTTTTAACTCCCACTAATTGACTTGAGATAATCTTTTCTTGTTCTGCAAATTAGTTTTAAAATTGCTTTTACATAACAACAGTAAAGTTGTTGGAAATGTCTTCTTCATCTTTTCTAACTCAGCACTTTCAAAAATGTATTTTCCTTCAGTTTTCTCAAGCGAATTTTTCAAACTTTTCTTCGATAAGTGCGGAGAATAATGGTTTTGTCTTCTAAACCCTTCCTCTTTCTGCTAAACTAGTGATGAATTTGAAGATAGTTGGGTTTTTAAGAGGAAAAAAAGAAAAAAAAAGGTTGCAACAGCAGAGAGAAATGTTTTCTTTATTGTTGTTTTCTCTCTCTTTCCCTCTCTCTCTCTTTCTCTCTCTCTCTTACTCTCTTACCTTCTTATTCTCTTTTAAAAAATAGAAATTCTCCACCCCCTACTTTGATTGTTCTATCCATAAATGAACATGAAGACAGATTTGATGAAGAGGTACTATTATGTGTGGATGACATCATGATGATTTTCCATTTCGCATTTACCTTTATATCCCATCAATCTAGTGCAAGCTCACAATTATGGTCATTTTAAATCCAATTCGTTTTATTTCCTTTTTTGAATAAATAAAAAATGATAAAGGTTATGCAATAGGGTTGAGAAATGGAGAGGAAGAGAGCAAGGGAGGGTGGGCAGCAAAGACGACGACGACGGGGGTTAGGTGGGTGGGGTAAGCGAAAGTCAAAGAGAAAAAGAGAAATGTGAGATGTGGAGATTGAGAAAGAGAAATAGAGAGTGAACACCATCTAAATTTTTGATTTACGGAAGTACTTAAGTACCTGCTGGTTTCGTGTCACATAAATATAATAATAAAATAAAAAAGAATATTCTTTTTTCACTTTCTATTCACACTTTCATTGCTATAATCATTGTGACAGGTTAATGTGAAGAAGTATTCATATTCAGCTTGAACTTCTTGATTTCAAGTAGTTCAGGAGAGCAAGTGAATCAGTGAGTTCATCCATATTCATCTGCATGTACTATGTAAGTCCCAGCGATGTGAGTTGTTCATGTATAGGGATGTATATCTGGTGTTAGGTGTCTCTGTCTATTAGTTTTACTTCTTCTCCTTTTTCTCGTATTCGCATGTCGTCTCATTGATCAAGGTAAACGGTTGTAGACGCAAGTCGTTGTAGTTCCGCAATCTTGAAACATGTATTTTTAAAATTGCAAAATAATAGAGTACACACGATATGAATATAAGATGCAAAATGAGGAATTTTGATGAAAAATAACGTAGATGAGAGGAAAAAGTGATAAAAGAAATATAATGGCATATGATGAGAGAGATTGAGTATATAGAGATTTTGAAAATGTTTAAGCGTTAGCACATATTCATACACACGCACGACAACGAATTGTTATGACTTTCTCTCGTTGTCTTTGTAAAGAGCTTCAAAGAGTTTGAAAGAAAAAAGGAAGACGACGAAATAAATGTTGAATGAGCTTGAGAGAGAGATAGAGAGGGAAATTATAAGAAGAGATAGAAAGAAAGAAAGTAAGAGAGAGATAGAGAGAGAAGATGAAGTGAAAGGGTGGTTGGGGGGGGGAGACTGAAAAAGAGGGTTTTCCATAATCACGCGACGAGTATTCGATCTTAGCCTATCATCTTTTAACTAGTCGCGAGTTCTTGAGGAAGAACTGAATGCCAATATTCGCGCAACTTTCAATTGCTTTTGTCATGTTTTCATACGAATTCATGTTAATAATCTGATTTAGCTTCTGTTTTGTGAACATGTATGGTGTGTATCTGTGTGTATGTGGTTGTTTCATTTTCATCTCAACTTGTATCTCATTCAATGCAATTTTCTTCATCTCTGATATATCTGGAACGTATTAATCACATATTCCCAGATGTATTTGACAAACATGTCTATGAATTAAACGACCGTTTCATTTTTATTTTCTTATTCAAATATATACATCTTTAACTAGATTAGTCGGTCTTGACAAACTCACAAAGAGCAGAGGGAAAGCAAAAAAATGTGAAAATATCGTTGTAAACTGCTGCAATGTTTATATGCTCTTTTGGGGTGGTTGTATAAGGAAGAAAGGAGTGGGGTTGGGGGGGAGAGGATGAGGAAGATAATGACAAGACGGAGCCTTAGAGTCATAGACATAAGACAGTTAAGCTGTGAATTATTGCTTTCTTGCTTCCGCGTAAATAGTGCATTTGAAGCTTATTCAGCATCAAGATCAACGTTTCCGTTAGACCATATCCGATTTTATAAATTCCATTTTTTTATATATTTTCTTTCTTTTCTTCATTCTCTTATACTCAATTCTCATTCTCTAATATTGTTTGTTCATTAGATGAATTGAGAGAGGAAATGATGACAAAAAAAAAGTTTTTCTTCATCTACTTCATCATTTTGCTTTGTTCAGTCGATAGGAACGTAAGTGCTCATGAAAAGGCATTCAACATACATTTTGCATATTGTTCGGAAAAGAAGGAGGGAGGCAGTATGTGAGATATAGCAATGCTTGAAACACATTTAATTATCAAAAATAATAATCTTTTTTTTTTTTTATATTCCATTTTATACTTCCTCTTATACATTCTCTTTCCACCACCCCCCACCCTCCATCAATTATGGATTCTCCACTAACTCTTCCCTCTTGCTTGCTGTGTCCGTTAAGCGTTCATGAACTGTGAGCATTCATGTTTAAGCTTCCTGCATTTCCAAGCTTCCAATATATCAATACTATAATCTGCGATTGATTGAGGTTAATAATATAACTAAAAAAAACATTTGTTAACATCTGAATGCCAACTCTAATCTGCTTACAAAGTGCTGAGGTTGTTTTGCGACCAGCCAACGAATATTGCCTGCGTGATAGAATATACGTTCCTCTCTTAGATGCTTATTTTTTCTTCGTTCCTTCTACATCTTCTTCCTTCTTTCGTTTTTTCTTATTTTATTTTTGCTTCTAACAAACACTTGGATGCTCACAAAGTAGCATTTCATAGGGGGGGGTTCTGATAGATGCCCATTATTACTTAAGCCTTTTGGATGCAATTCATATATCAGGAAGTTTGGCACATATTAAAACAAAAATAATTCTTTTTGTATCTTCTCCATCTGAAAGTCCAATGAAATACAATCTTATATAGATATATTCTTTTCATTGGTTTCCTTTATATTCCATATATGCAATGTTATAAATGAGATTTTATATAATTATTTCAGTTGTTCAATATGGCTGCTGATGGACAGAACAATACCAATTCCCTCTATATGTTATTGTTAGTTTATATACTATATAATATAATATATATTATAATTATATAATTACTTTTTTTTTTAAATTTTTATTTATTTAGAACTCACAAAGACAGACGAGATGATCTAATGACTGTTATCGTCTGGCTTATAATGTTATTATATGCTCTTATAAGTAATATTCTAATCATAGTTGGAGTATTACGTAGTGCAGCAATGAGATGTGCAACCAGGTTTAACTATATCATCTAAATATTTATATAATTATACAATTATAGTTATTGGTTTATCATATCATTGGCTATTTGTGATATAGTTATGGTGTTCATTTCCTTAATACATCTCATTCCATCAACAGCATTTCATGAAGATTTTGTTCACGTCATGTCAACACGTAATGTCGTTATGCTTTTTTTCTACAACTTCTTCTGGTATACGGGTGTTGTTCAGCTAGGATTGATGGCGTTCAATCGGTATTATACTATATCATATAATTTATATATATTTTAATTTATTTGAAGCTTTGTTTCAATTGTTTATCCCATGGAGTACAAGGTCATTTTCTCAAGACAACGGTCATGTTTCCTGTTGTTGTTAGGATACTTTTTGGGTTTTTTGGCATCACTACCAACACTATTCTCATGTTGCCATCTTTTGTGGGACGCCCACAGCTATGCTACAATTTATGTACAGCCTGACACATGGTATTCAATTATATATAATATTGAATTATTGTATAATTTGTTTATTCAATTTTTAGGTACAAGTATGTTGACATGGGTGTCAATAGTATTTCCCTTCTTATGATGCTTATATCCTATGCTGCCATCATTCACAAAGTGCGTGAAAGTGGTCGAGCTGTTAAAAAATACCAATTATCAATTCGGATGAAGGTTAGTCACTATGCTAATACAATTATATAATTGTGTACTATACGTTCGTATAGTTTATTTTCCATTTCCGGTATTTGATTTTGAATTCTCCAAGTGTGAAAAATAGAGAGACAGATGGAGAATAAGAGAGTCAAAAGAGAGAGAGAGAGGGAAGTTTGTGTGTAAGCAACGACAAACACCTCATCAGAATTATTTCAATTACGATATATCATTTAAATTTTAAATTTTTCATTTTTAGCAAAGTGGAGCTTTGGTCGTTGTACCGCCGACGTGTCCAGGAGGTTTTCATCGCACACATTCATTTAAAGCAACCGGAAGTCAAGTTAGTAAGAAAGAGCTACGTCTTTTCATTCAGGTAATAAATAATGCCCACACCTTAAGCTCATAACAAAATCTGTGTGTTTAAGTTCTTTTTGGTTTCCATTGTATTTTTATTAACATGGACTACATGGCAATGGCTTCCGCGCTTTTTCCAATCTAAAGGCGCATGCTTTGCTATGACATCATTATTCTTCATTAATAATTCTGTAAGATATAGTTATACTATATTATATCATATAATTAATATTATAGGTTAATCCAACTGTATATCTCATATTTAATACTCAACTACGACGAGAGCTCTACAAACTATTCTGCATTCGCGGATAGAATAATAAGCTTCATCATTCGGATTGTTCTTTGAGATCTTGTCGTTAATAGCATTTTTTTCCATTTCCGCTATTTTCCCCTCAGTTATCTATTTCCGATCTCTAACACATTCCCAAAGTTATTATATTTTAACCATTCTCTCATCTCTCTATCTAATGATCTCCATCCTCTCATAGCCTTTCTTTTCCGCTTTTTCTGTTAGCCACACCCCATCAGGCGTTCCCAGTTTATTTCATTTCTTCTTCCATTCCGTATACCATAAGTTGTATTCATCATCATATACATCTTCAGCTAGTTGAGATTTCATTTTTTAACTTTCTCTCGCTTCTCTCTCTCTCTCTTGATCTCTATCAATCTCCCTTTCTCGATCTCTAAATATGGTTAGAAAAGTATTCTTCATTCATTGATTTCTCATTTCCAAAATGATTTTCATCAACATCAACAACAAGAAAAAACTGAACAAATAGAAACTTTTATTATGAACAGAACATTCGTTTGGTTGACCTTTCTATGTGCTTATAAGGCACTTCATTGCTAAGCTTAGTCATTTATTCTGTTCGAAAAACTCAAAAACTGATATTATTCATGGGTTTCCTTTATAATGTGTCGATTTTATGTGAGAATTCTTCCATTTATATTTAAGCTTATATTTGAAGAAAGAAAGAGGTAGAGAGAGAAGAGAGAGAGAAAGAGACAGTGATAGGGAAAAGGGACAAAAATCTTTTTTTTTCTTCTTCTTTTTAGAGCTTTTGGAGCACGAAGGAGAAAAAAGATTTTTTCCCTCCCATCTCTCTCTCTCTCTTTCTCTCTTTCTATTTCTTTTTTTCCTTTTAGTATAAGATGGTTTTTTCTTAATAATCAAGAAAATATGCTAATGAGATGCTTTGTTAATATGGCTGTCTGTCTATTATGAGATAGATCTAGTGAAACATCTCATGTTGTCTTGTGACAACATTACTTTTGTCAAATAACTGCTCTCTCTCTCTCTCTCGATCTCTCTTTAATCTTCAACTTTTTTTTCATTTCATTTTTCTTTATGTATTATATAATAAATCTTTTTATTGGCCCCAGCTGAATATGATATGGGCATGAAGAGACGTTAAGTTCATATGATGAGGCTTTTCAGATGATCACTTGTCCTGTTTAACATTAGAAGGGGGGGAGTATACGTCATCATCTTCTTATTCTTCTTCTTCTTCTTCTAAGAATCTACGCGTAAGGAGAGAGACACAACACGATCAAGAAGTATAATATTCGTCTCATCTTTTCACAAGTATAAAAGGCTTTTAGTTGACATCATTATTGGGAAACATGGATGGCAGCAAATGCATTTTTGCTTTAAGCAAATGCTATCTAGTCTAATGAAGTATTCTGTAAATGAATACTAAGAATCCATTAGGCTTTGATTTTTTGGTGAGCTGACCTAGTTAGATAGGATCAGACGGACGCATTTCCCTTTTGGCAAACGCATATTGCTAATGGCATACAACACAGGATGACTGCGCGCAGAGAATATGTCTTTCGGTTACAATATTTGTTTCTTACTCCTCTGCTTAATCTTTTTTTTTCTTTTTTTACATTCTTTAGTCACCCCCCACTTCTTTTCCTTTCTTTGCTCATACACCTCTCTAGTCTGTCTCTCAGTTCGTTTTTGTTCTGTTTTCTTCCACCTCATAAAACTGGTTTTGCACTTTGAGCTGTGTGAGGTCTGCGAGGCTATAAAACTGTGACCTAGTCTTGCGACCATTTAGTTCATCTAAATGAGTTCAATATGTTTTTTTTTCCATCCATTCGGCACTCACACAAAGAAAAAAAAAAGGATTTGAAAGCTATATATGAGTTTATAAGGTATATTAAAATAAATGAGATAAAGATGTAGATGGCAATCAACTACTTAATTCTCTTTCTCTTTCTCTTACACACTCTCACTATGTTCATACTGTCAGATCAGTTTGGTAAATTCTTTCATCTTTCTGTCTATACCCTCTTTCCATAAATCAATGTGATTGATTGTTAAATCGTTTGGCGTGCGTTCAAAACTTTCTGATATATTTATAGAAAAAACCGGCTGAAAGACCAATACTTAAGCGTTATTCAAAGACCTCAATTGCTAAGAAGTTCATTTTCTGTTATGTATTTAATGGATAACAAAAACTTGATTAAAAGAATCATAAAAAAAAATAATTTTATATCTACCAATAAGGCGGAAATAGCTTTGTGGAACGTCCTTTGATGATAAGATTATATGCCAACACCCCCCCCCCTTTAATGATTAATCGTTTTTGAAGAAAATCTAGATGTAAGCAGGTTTGTTAAAGACTTCATTTGACGAAAGAAAAAAATTTTTTTTTGCTTAATTGATGTTCATTTCGTCTCTTCCAATCGTTTTTTTTCTTTCAATTTTATCGTTTTCAACTACATGTGTTTGTGACTCATCAGTTTTCAACTTTCTCTTATCTCTTTCACTCTATAATTTCATCGTCCATTCCTCTCTGCTGTGTTACTCATGTCATTGCTGTGTGTTATTGATTTTTGTGAATGTTGAGTTGAATTTCTATACAATTTGTACTATGTGTGTAATAATGCAAGGATATGTAATAGACTATTGTATATACGTGCCACACTATTCTATCCACTCATCTTATATAGTGGATATACATACGAGTTGTGAGAGGAGTGCCCTAATGCGAATATAGCCGCGCTGCCTTCTAAGTCTTGCGAGCGTTTCTCAGAGTAAGAGGATGAAACAAAAAAATGAATGATTTATGAGGCTGATAAGTCATTATTATCTATAATAATATCATCTTTATTTATTTTATTTGTTTACACTTGTCTTGTAGTCTTGTTAAAAGAGCCGCATTAAGCTATATGAGGGGATGCGCATCATGTTTACACAGTAACGTTTTCATTTATTGATTTGTGATTGGTAGTAGTAGAAGATGAAGAAGAGAGCGACAGAAGAAAAAAAAGGAAAAAAAATAATTGAAAACCAATGTTTCATGAGACAAACACATGAATTTAGTTGGTTTAAGCCTTTTTTGCTATTCTCATCTACATACTAAGTAAAGACTATAAGCCAGTACTTTATATTCAATATAATTCTTTTATCATTTGTCTATTGATAAACTGTCGTCATTTTGTCTTTGATTCCACCTTTTTCCTATATATGAACTACAACATTATCTGTTAAGGTGGCTTTTAAGCTCCAAACAATTCGACATGAACACCGTCAGCTCCGTTTTCACACGTGCACACAGAGCCGTGTTTGGGCGTGAGGTAAGAGTTTACGTTTATAGATAAGAAATAGGATTTTAACTGATATAATAAGAATTTCTTTGGACAAATATCATTTTTTAAATGCTTACAGATATTACCAAATTTAAAGCCAGAAGTTATGAAAGCATACAGAGCTATAGCAACACTCAATCGCGGGGTATATACTTTGAGGATGGTTAGATGATGATAAACATGTTGATATTATAGGATCGAAAGCATATTGAAAGAGCATTCAGGTTTATGGAAGAGATTATCAGAGTATTTCATAGTGCTCGTGTTCCTTTAAAGAATTCTCCACCGTTTATAGTAGATATAGTTAAAGATATGTATCTTCATGTAAGTACCATTCCTCTTTCATACAGATAATCATATCATTCGTTTTCAGCTATCATCAATCGTTAGTCATGATGTCTCAGTTGTTCTCAATAATGATTATTTGAAAGCATTCCTCATTAACTTCAATCACAAAGCTAAGGATGTATATATTTGCTTGAGTTATACATTATTCATTTATACTTCATTTAAGACTTTAAAAGCATTCCGAAGTAATGGCATTGGTAATGAAGGCTCTGCTGAACGTAAAGTTGTAATTAAACTGTCCATTATCTTCTCAAATATGCTGTTTGAATTGAAAGAATACTTCCCAGATTATGTCTATGTTGGTAGGGAAATTGAATGTTCGTAATCGAGTATACGTGTTATTCTATTATAGCTAGCGCTTATCGCATCAGCAAACGCGAAGCAGAAAATTTCTGGAAAAACCACTTCCCGGGAAAGTAATCGAAGCCAATTAAACAAGAAGCATTAATTTCTTTATTCAGAATATATGTATCATGGGAGGATTTTATAAAAGCCGCAAACACTATGCCTAATGGACCTCTAGATAAAACAGAAATGGAATCCTTCAGACAAACTGTTGACATCATGGGGCATGATATGGTTACTACTTTCGAATTTGATGTATTCACAAGGTGAGACGAGCAATGAAACATGAATCCATTTCTTGATAGACTTTTCTATCCGTGGTCTTCGATCCTTCGCAATTGGAGAGTTATAACAGCTTTGCATCCTGCTTATGCGCCTACGCTAACCTATGACGAAGTTCGCCAACACCTTGAGAAATGTTCACACATGCCTGGAAGGTTCTTTGATTCTTTTGAAACATATTCAGGGGTTTTCATTAATTCAGCTATATGTACCGACTATCCTGCACTCGTCCTGGTCAGTGGGCTATTGGGTATGTAGGGCAAGATCACAAAATCTACCAAACAATCCCGCAAAACAAATCATTGATTATAGCAGTTCATGAAGGAAACCGAGATGGATTGTAAGTGTTTAATAGAGAAATAAAAAAACAGAAAATGTTTTTTCAGCTATAAATATCCGAAAGGTAAAAGGATTGCTAACATTGATTTGGGTTCTTTGTTAGAAATCTGTCCTGCTGAGCGTATCAAGGTTTCAAAAGTCTCATTAAGCCTTTGTTATGATTGTCTTTTAGGTTCCTGCTGATGAATATGATGCTTACTGCGAAATGGGTTCATCATATGAAATGTGCAAAATCTGTGATGACCGCAACAAAAACGTCCGGGTAGAGCCTTGTGGACATTTGTTATGTTCAGTATGCCTTGCTAATTGGCAGGTAAATCAATGTCTTCTTTCCTCTTTCAAAATTCACATGAGTATAGGAAGCTGAAAATGGAAATACGTGTCCGTTCTGCAGAGAAGAAATCAAGACTACAAGTCTTATTATGTTCGTTCGTGAAACTTCTTCTAATTTCGAAGAGATTCCCAACGATCCTGTTGAAACAGCAATTTGTGAAGAAATGGATGATACAATAGAGATGAATTCCCATAATGGTAGTGCTCCTGATCTCATAGACATGGTATGTTTCCCTAGTTGATCATTAGATTTTAGAAATTTCAGACGGAAAACGGTTTGCCTTTAGATATTCCTATACCGCCTAGACTCCCTGAAAGCGGTCCACCACCTCTTCCTCCTCGTACTCACCGTCGTAATCGTCAATAACGAGTCTGTTTTTGACGATTATAACTATCTAAGCCATTTTCTTGCGATCTTATCCCAAGCCAATAGAACTAAGATAAACAGATTAATGTAAGAGTATCGTGATAGTGTAAAGACAAAACCCCCATAGTTGCTTATTCGAAAACAAATCTTGTCCTTTAATGAACGGGAATATGGGAGATTAACTCCTTCATGAAGGTTGGAAAGAACATGAACTTGATTACCTTGCTTAATCATCTAGAATCTTGTTCAGTTCGTTCCTTCTGTTGATTGAATTCTCCCAAAGTATCATGAGATTATAGACTCTATATACTCTAGGAAGCGTATGATCTACTAGAAACCCTTTATGTGCTATCTTAGTGAGAAAAAAACAGATTTTAATCATTTCCAGTTATAACTCTATTAGAAACAAACGTGTTCATAGTTAGAAAAAAGATTTCTATGCATTAAGAGATTATGAGACGTATGTGCTCCGCTAAAATATTTATTTCATTCACATCACTATCTTCCATGTGTAACTATCATAATACGAAACGTAGGAATATTCCGAATACTTGACGACGTTTATGTATCTTTTGCCTGATCGAAACAAAAAAATTCCTGAAAAAAAGAAAAAAAAAAGAAAAGAAAAGAACAAATCAACTTTAAGTTATATATGTGTTGAGCCTGTTAATATCGAACCATTACATTCCTTTTTTAGTATTAATTATTTAATTTATACGCTCTTTGCTGGTTGAAAAGCTTCTTATTTATCCATTTAGAGTGAAGAAAGTTTAATTTATTCTTTCCCTTCACTCTTTCAATTGTTTCTCTATTTTTCATTAATAAAGTCTTCTTGAGTGCATTTGTAATATATAGCCATCATAAGCTACTTGAAATAGCCATATTTGCATTATAGATTGTCTTATGAATAGTTAAAATGAGTATGAGAACTATTTTAGGCTGGGTTATTATTAATTTGAATTCCATGAGTATGTCCTTCAGCAGATGAGGATGACATCATTTGTTTGAAGCTTAAAGCAATGATTACTGTACTCATGCACTATATGGAGGATCATATATTGGCTGTTGACCTGTTTATTAAAGGAAGACATGTGTACGGCAGCTGTGATGAGAGAATAGCTAGCGACAGGAAATCGCATAATAAAAGATTATTAGGTAGTGACCGCCTGGTGAAGACAATGACTATACCCACACTAGTGAAGGCGATTTGAAATTTCCATAAATGTCCTTCACAAAGGAATGACCTGCATTTATCTGACCTTGATCTATCTGCAGCAAAAGACGCTCATCTCCACCTTTTGCTAACTCTCCTTTCAATTGTAATGTGCGTTTTTTTCTTTTCATTTTCAATATTTTCGTTAAATGAATACATTTAAGGTATAATTCAGAGATGGGTCGATCTGTTAATAAGTTAACAGAGAAGTGTAACCTAATTTCTGTCATTGTATTGATTATTGTGTCGTCAGCATTGAGCGCAGCTGGCTTGTTGAATCCTAGTTGGCAGGTTGTTGATATAAAGGAATTTCGTGCGGAACATCATGTAAATATATATTTACAAGGTTGTAGTTTTATAATATTATTTGTTACAGCATGGATTATGGCTGGATTGTACTCGACCTGAACGCATTCACACAAATAATATTCCGAACGACGAACCCTTTCATTGCACATATAAGTTTGACGTTTCAGCTCTAGAAGTAAGAGAAACTTTCATTAAATTATTTAATAACTTTCATAGATAATTGATGAGAATATAGATGACATTGATGAGAACAGTGCTGCTGGAGAGAGCGAACATCATCAGTTCTTTGGTATATTCATTTTCATTTGACAAATTGGATGAAAATTAATTTTTTTGTTCTCTTTGCAGAATGGCATAAGGTTGTTCTTGTCGTATTCGTTGGATCACTCATCTTGAATGCTGTCGCATTGTGTATGGCTATATGCGCATCTTGTAGCGGAGGATGTTCCACACTGTTTTCTATTATTCTAGCCTTATCACGTGTGTTCATTATATCCCATTTTTCAATATATATATCTATATTTAAGTTTTCTTGTCTATGGTAGGCGATGGAGTGTTTTTCTTTGCAGCTCATCGAGTGGATAATCGCTTCGTGCAAGGCCTTATTGGAACTTATGAGGTTTTTCGCATCAATAGACGCAACTTGCAACGTTTATATATATTTCAGCAAATGATTGGTGTAGCATTCTATATGCACTTATCCGGAACTATCTTATTATTATTTTCATTAATATTATCAATTATCTTTGCATATCAAATATTGGGAAAAACTGTAGCAGACAACATGTCATTACAAGAAGTTCGAGTATTTAATTCGGAGGGACGACGTACGAGTGTTTTCTGAGTTTGTTAATGAATCAACTGGTTCTCTCAAAACCGTGTATATGAAAGAATTCATCAAAAATATGAATGAACAAGACGACTGATTGAGCTTTCACAATTTGTATGTGTTTATATTTACATTTGTATTTGAGTGATTTATTATCAAAATAGGAGTGAGAATCATCGCCCGTTTCAAGCAAATAAATGAAATTGACAGCATGCTAAGTCTCTTGTTGTAATCTATTCTGAAAAACAGCACCAATTTTCGTGAATAATACTATTCTTATTACTATTATATATATATATCTCTATAGGTATACGTATATCTCTATCTATCTATATATATATAGTTAATTAGATAATCAGCTTTTCTATTATGTGAGCATGAGAATGGCATGATTTGAATATTGCAAAGAACAACAGACCTCTAATTGATTTCAATAACATTTCGTTTATTCGCCTCTAGTCTCTGATCGATTTTGGTGAAAAAACGAAAAAATTTGGTTCTGAAGGCTTTTTTTGTCATATTAACATGGTTGAGAAAACTCGTTTTCTTCACCGTTTTCGACCTTACTGACAACACATTGGCTTTTTCCCATTCATAACTCTTTTATACACACACACATACAGCAACCATCTCCCTTTCTATCGCTGTCTGTCTCTCTCTCTCTCTACCTCTCAACCACACAACTCTCTCTCTCTATCTCTCTTCTCTCTCAATTGAATCAAAATTTTTCTTGTAAAACAAAATTTTTTTTCTCTTCTTCACTTCTTGTCATCCGAAAATGATTTATTCCTGTGTTACGGTTTATTCTACAAAGGAAAATAAAGTAGGCTTTCGTCTTCTAAAAGATTTGTTGACTTAGCTTTGCGTTTCGCTATAGAGAACTTTGCGAAATTGATACTACTTGTTCTGACTATGCTTTCTCTTTAAACAGTCACATTATGTCTCCATTTTCTTCTTCAGCGTGAAAGAAGAAGAAGAAGGAGAAATTCTGAAATGTTACGAGTTAAATAATCTTTTTCACCTTTTCACATCTTCATGCTTGTATAACAATATGTGAGAAGAGTAGAGAGAGAGAGAGGTAGAGAGAGATAGAGGAAGAGATTGTGATGCAAAAATAATCTTTTGTCTTTAACTATTATGCACATGATGTGATTTCAATAGAAAGCTATTCTTCAATTGATATCAGCAACAACATCTACATCTTATCGTATAAGAAGGAATGAGGAAGCAGATTATGCTTGAGCAAAACACAGACTTATCCATTATTCTTGAAAAGAAGAAGAAGAAGAAGCTGAAAAAAAAATCTTTGATTTGTATCATTTAGCGAAACTCTTCATAGTATACTTACACCTCTCAATGTATAAGTGGGATAATGTGTTTGTTGCGAGACCCCTCCCATCGGTTAGCTCTTCTTTCTATCCGCTAGTTTGACATAGGAAGCTTACAATTTTTTTCAAGAGTAAGATGAGTACTATAATGTATTGAATGAATGTTTATTTAATCTTCTGATTTGAAATTATCTCTCAAATCTTTCATTGTGTGTAATTTGATCATTTAATTTCGCTCAATCTCTCCTAATATCTATAACTTTCAATAGTTTTAAATGAATTGATTGTTCCAACTTTGAAAATGCTAACGTTCAGAGCATCAACATGCAAGTGAAGCTAAAGTGAGAGAAAGAGAGAGAGTGAGATAGACAGGGTGAGAGGAAATTTATTTTTTTTTCTTTTTTTTGAAAGTCTTCTTACTTTTCCGTTTATCCGATTTCTAAGATTGCAATGTGATTCATTTAATACTTGGCTTCTTTTCCGATTTGAATGGAATCCTTGGAATTTTAGTGGGATTTCCTGCCAGTTGCAACCATTTTCAGTTCTCCCACACACACACACACACACACACACATATAACACGTCACTCATTGAAAGATATGGCACAAAAAGTTAATAAAAAAGATCAAGTTTGGAATGAGCTGAACGTAAGTCATCATGACTTCATGGAACTTGCTGAAGAATTTGATATTACAAACTATGAGGTTAATAACATATACTATACGATATAGATAACATCTAGTTAATATATTTTAAGGATAAATTCATGAATATCATTGCCTTATTCATTATAACATTCTCAATGTTAGGCATATTGGCTAACATTCTCATTGTATGTACATCATATTCGAAAATCAAAACAAACTACCGGTAATAATTATAATAATCCATCTACTCATTCATTTACTTTTTTTATTCTTTTTCAGACATTTTATCGCCAATTTAGCTGTTGTTGATATAGCTTGCTGTCTAGTTTATATATTTATGGGTTATATTAATATATTAGATTTACAAACGAAACTATCTGTCAGGTTAATATATATATAGAGATATATATAGTTAACTATGCCTTTCCAGTATGATGACCTATTCTGCCTTAGCTTTTTACGGATCATTTGGTGTTATGATTTGGGCTGTTTTGCCAATTTCGATAAGTCGGGTCTTGGCATTAACTCATAGCGGAGCCTATAAATCGGTGTGTCGTTTAGTATACACATCTATCCTCATACACATACACATGTATACACATCTATATACATCTAGTATATATATATATGTGTATGGGTTATATATATAAGTGTGTGTGCCTGACATTAAAAAAACATTTTCGCTTCAACTAATTCAAATCTAAATTTCTCATTATAGCTTTGTTATGGAGGGATGTCGATTATATTCTGTTTACTGGCTGACTTTTTGCCCGTTACATTACTTTATGTAATTGAATTTAAACTATGCGTCAATAGTATAATTATATATATATATATATTATAGATAATAAGCCTTCAAGATTATAATAGCGCTCGCATAACGTTCATCTTCTATGGATTCATAACGGTTGTTGCGTATGTTATTGCATTTGTATCAAACTATATGGTTTTTCAAATAGTTGGTTCGCTTCTAATTGATATAGATAGACTATAACATTTTTTTTAAGCTCGTCACATTCATGTTGTTCAAAATTTACAAGACGAAGCGCGGCTACTTGAAACTCGACAAGTGGCTTTTGCAACACTCGCACAAGCCATTGTTCCATTAATTTGTCAAGTAAGAACTATATAATTAATTAAATATTTAAATAGAGATGAATGAAACAACAATACATCCTACATTCATACATATATATTATAGGTGCCAGCCTTTTTGACATTATCATCTGCTATATTGCTAACAGAGCCAATAACAAACTCAACCATAATTACAATAACACAATTATGGTTAGCAAGCAGTCCATTGCTAGATGCTCTCATTACGGCAGTTGTTATCAAACAATACAGGTGAGTAAATAACAATATTAATTGATTATGTGCCAAATGCGACACATATACCCACCACACCCACACCCACACACACACGCATACAACCAGATGAGCTACATCTATATCTCTTTTTCTATTTATAGAAAACAATGGAAAGTCTATGCTGGATGGCTATGTAGCATACTTCGACGAACGAAACAGAACAAAGCTACATTGACTGTTAATTTAGAAACAAATCTATTAGCTACACAGCTTTGAATATGCTATCTCGGGATCATATGATGCTGCTTTACCTTTAAACTAATCAATAATATAAAATATTAATAATAAAAAAGTATGTATAATAAGATGAAATTTATACATTTTTGTACATCTATTTGTCATTATTGATTGCCTGTCCCATGCATGCCCTATCGCTAAATCAGTTTATCAATAATTTTCCCGCCAAAACTATTTTTGAATATTCATTAAAATGCAATTTTGTGCATTTTTTTTCTTTTTTCTCTCTTTTTTTTCCTGATTATAACGATATATATCGTATAAATAACTATATATATATATATATATCTATAGATATTTCTACTTGTTTATGTGTGGAAGAGAGGGAGATACGTATTTAGATGAGCTGATGTGAAGTTGTGTTGGATGAAAGAAGAAAAATAAAACAAAATCTTTATATAGGATCCATTTGATGCTTAAAAGTAATATTAACAATGAATATACATTTACATTCATCACACCACTTCGATGAGATATGAGAACACTGATGATGGCACATAAAAATGAAAATTTTTTTGTCTCTTCTTATCCATCGAAGTGAGCTGGACTGTTTGTCGGCGCAAATATGAGGGATGAGTTAGAACGGTCTGTGTAAATTTGATCCAAATTGGTTGCACTACATAAAACTCCAACAAGGCCAAGTGGTTTCTGAAACAGATGCATTGTTTGTTGAAGTATCAGAATGTTATCTGTCTTACATTCACATCACGGGCTCTCTTCAACAAGCAATCACCAGCTGATTGAGTTCGAATATGTGTCACGAATTCAGCAGCATCAAAAGGAATTTGGTTTACAAGTGCATGTACCAAATGAGCTGAGATAAAGATGATGCAATCTTATGCATCGTATACGTTATCTTACCTGCGTCATTAGAATTTTCGGCATAGACTGGATTTATTTTGTACATGTAGTCACCACCATTGGTTGGCACAGATCCGGCAACACCTCTGATTGTTCCTTTCAAATCGAACATAACGATTCCTTCAAATGAAAAAGTTGAAGATGGAAATCGGTATGTGAGTTCACCTTCAACGAAAGCGAGGCTGTAGTAGTTTCTCAAAAACTTTTCTCTGTTGACTCCGGTAATCATTTTGTCATATTCGATGAAAGCATTGAACTGTTTTGGGTTGAGATTCTTCAATTTCGTTATTAGATCATATTGTTTTGAGAAGATCGAAATACCCTGACGGAGAGAAGAGCATAACTGCAAACACCTTCTATGGGGAAGAAGTCTAGGATTTCCTTTTTTGATTGAAATTTGATATAGAACATCTCGTAGAGATGAACTCCGTTAAAAGGTTCCTCTTTATATTTATCCATCATTGCGGGAGCTGAAATGAGGCGTCAAAGCTTGAAGTTCAATGTTCTCGTTTGAGTTTTTATGTCGCGCCGCTTGATAAACCGCACCTTTCAATCTTTTATCACTCAGGCATATGATGCAAAAGAAGCTTTTATAGATATAAAAGGTTCGTTCGTGACTCTTGACATGTTATCAGCTACTTTTTCTTTTTTTTTATCACTGACTCCATCATATCTTTCTAGCATGTGACCCGGCATTGTTTGCGCGCTTTGGTTAGAATGTAGTGAAAGTTTACCTCCTCGGGCTATTAATGGTTTGCAAGCAAGAGATGGGCCTAATTGCTGTTGGAATCGAATGATAAGCTTCATTCCCAAACCGGATGCACGGTATCCGTCTCTTAACACATAAACGTTTGCATAAACCGATTCTTCTGTTTCAATGAGAACGGTAGCTCCAACAAGGAAGTTATCTGAAGTAAATGATAAAGTTGATTTCATTTTTCAAACTTTGAGATCACCTTTTTTCCTGACAATAAAGAGAGATGTAACTGTATCCATTTCTCTGAGAAGAGATGTTGTTCCTAAATCCTGAGTAGTCCATCCATTTTTTTTTTGAATTTCAGCTAACTGATCCCATAGGTTACAGTCATCTTTAACTCTAATCTGTAAAAATCCAGATGAATAGATTTAAGAATAGATAAAAACATACCTCATATTCGTTAGGTTGAAGAACTTGTTCAAGAGCCATTTTCGATCTAATGAGCTCCGACCAAATGAATTGTCTTTCTTGCTCAAAATACTTTTATAGTGATTGCATTGATCGCTGATAAGAAGAGAGTTTGTGATTTATAACTAACTTATCGTTTCAATTGTTCTTCTTTTCCGGGGACATGATGTGCCTGTAAGTCTGTTATATTGCAAGCCTCTTGATAACGTTCAAAACCACAAATATCTTGCTATCAGTGAAAATTTTTTTTTCTTGAGCTTTTAAGTCGATAATCAATTTATTGCATGAGGAAAGCGAAATTTCAGTTGTTTATGATACTTTCTAGTCATATCAAACAGTTCAACGGATAAAGTTCAATTAGAGTTCGGCAATAGTTTCATATTTTGAAGAACGTTGCACATGTAAGCTAACATAGTTCGCATCGGCCTCGTCATTCTGGTTGTTGAGATTTTCACGTATTTCTTCAAGATGTCCTCCGCGTTTGTTCCCTGTCTGAATTGCTCAGAATATTGAGCATATTATTACTTGCCTCTCAGTCACTAACCTTTGTCTGATATGCTGCCCAATTCCTGTCAGAAGTATGATTTAGTTTTTTCCGCGCACCAAAGCGATGAATCAACAAGTACACCACAAGGGCACTCACAATTGCCGCCAATACTTGAAACAAAAAAAATTTTGAAAATCTCTTCAAGCAAACAGAAACGAACTGAGCCATAATGGGATTTCTGAATGATCATTCTCGCAAACTTCTCCATAATAATCTCCAACACACAAACAGACAATTCCTTTTTTATGGTGATGTGCACAAACACCTCTAGAACTACAGTTCTGTAACTCATCCGTGCAATTATCTGGGAAGAGCATCATATCTCCATTTCTTAAGAAACTTTCGAAATACTTTACATAATCTATCACGTACTCTAAAGTAGGCCATACAACGTTTCCTGGAAAAGGCGGAGGAGTCGGCTTAAGTCGATAGTACTCACTATGATTTTCAAACTAAAAGAAAAAAATTCAGAAAATGTAAAAGGGAAGGTTGAAAAAACAAGAAAAAAAAACATTACCATTTCCTCTGTACTAACTGCTATAAGCCATAAAAAAGAAAAAATATATTTCATAGCAGGTTTCTCCTTGAATAGACTTGAAAAATAATTTTTAATTGTAGTTTTATGAAAATCTGTTATAATTGGTAGATAGACAAGATGTATGCTATGTTTGCCCCTGCTTCTTGTGTTCGTTTCATTCGAATCAATCAAATGGGTATGTCTGAGACGACTTTTTTTTAAAATTACTAATGACTAATGGTTGTAACTTTCTTTGAAATACTTTAAGGGCAACATCAACAAAAGGTTAAGGAAATGTTGCAAACATAAAAAGTTTTGAAAGAATAAAGAAATCGCAGCTGGCAGCTCCAGTGGTAAATGATTTGTAGGCTTTAAAGAAAATATGGCTCAATAATTTCAATTTATAAAATGAATTTTG